AGATAATTGTGGTTGAAGAAATTTGAGATTTAATAATTGTGATTGGAAAATGGATATTCAATAATTGTGATTGGAAAATGGATATTCAATAATTAATTGGAAAAAATGCATATTCAATAATTAAGATTGGTTCTCGATCTTGCTCTTGTGATTAAATAATGATTGGAGAAGCTGGAGATCAAATAATTGTGATAAATTAGGGAATATTGGAGAAAAAAGTCTAAGTGAGAATTTGGAGAGGAGAGAGAGAGCTATAGTTGTCAATTATGATTATTAATGACTCGGTTCTGTGATTCACTGGAGAGAATATTTAGATAAGAATGAAACGTCTAGAAATTAAGTTCATAAATGTGAATCATAATGAAATTATACTAGGGCGCCATAAAAACACTGGTGGTTAGCCACTAATGATTAATTAGGTATGGTTCATTAGCGGAAATGTTAACCAAAACATAACTGGTTTGAAAACAAGAATCTTGAGAAAAACAGAAGGAGCATTGACAATTAGCTTCAGCTGGTGATTACCTACTTCAGGTGAATTATTAATTAGCTCTATGGGAAGAATCTAATCAGAATTAGTTTAAGTCAAAGCAAGGGTCCGGAAATGGGGAAAATATGGACACTGATTACGAATAAGTATGAAAAAGTAGTCGACGATGAAATATGGAATAGAGAAGTTCATCATGAATTAATGATTAATCAAGAACAAGTCTAATCAACTGGCAAGAGAGAAAAAAATAATACATATGCAAAATAATTCATGTCAAAACAAGTATCGACAAGGAGAGAATGGGAAAGGGATTTAATAGCACTTCCTAATTAATTTCATGAGAGATGTAATAAAATGCCAATCAAGGTGACTGACATTACAGTGGATTAGATCATCTGTGTAATCGTCAGTTATTGAGCATCTTATGAACACCAGATATTAGCATTTAATTGTAATAAATTGTAACTGATTAGAAAAGCGGCATTAATTAGACATGTTTCATCATTATTCTTATAGATGGAGGAAAAGGCTGTGAATTTATAATGAATGAAGATTAAATTTGAGTAATTACCACAGGAATAAATGGATTTGAAATAATTTATGCAATTGCAATCTACGTCTAAACAATATGATAATCAACAATAGACAAGATTTTATTAATAACCAGAAAGGAAAAAAAAAAAAAAAGCCTTACGTCTATATGAGAGAATTGTTTTTTGGATTGTCGTTACTATCTCTGTTATAGCGTATTGCAGTTCTGCTATTCTTATGGACGAGGTAAACATTTGAATACATAATGAAAAATGAATATCTTATGCTTCATTAAGATACCATTAAGTCCACTGATTATAAACGAACAGAAATGAGAGGCTGGAAGACAACGGTAATCATGATAATGTAAATGATAATAATGATAATGATAATCATAATGATAATAGTAATACTAATAATGGCAATAATAATGAAGATAATAATAATGATAGTAATAATAATAATTATAACAATGATGATAATGATAATAATAATATTGATAATAATAATATTAATACCAAATCTAACACTACTACTATAAATGACGTTAAAATAATAATAATAATAATAAAAATATTTGTAGTAATCATAGCGATGATCATAACGAAAATAATGATGATGATAATGGTGATGATGGTGATAATAATAATGATAATGATAATGATGAAGATGAAGATAAAGATGATAATGATGATAACAATAATGATATTAACAATCATAAAAAAATAACAATGGTAATGACAATAATAATGATAATGAGGATGATGACAAAGATAATAATAATAAACAAGAACAATGAAAACAAGCATGATATTGTTGATATGATAGTGATGGTAACGATAATGATGATGATAACAATTATAACAATCATAACAATGACAGACCTAATAAAAATAACATCAAATAATGCTGCTGACAAATATGATAATAATGATAATACTCTTATGATAATGAAAAAATGACAAAAATCATAATAACTTGTAAACAAACAAACAAACAAAACGACGTTACATCAGATTAACAGCAAAAATCTACATACTGAATGACATATAAGTTGTGTTCCATATCGACTAAAAATATGTTTTCGGTTAGATGTGAAAGGGTTAAATCCTCCCTCCCCCTACCCCTTTCCCCTTCTGCCCCCCCCCCCCCTTGATTGGCAGATCGTGATTGGCGGAGATCAGGACACGTATGGGAAATCGATGCTTTTTTTTTTTTTTTTTTTTTTTGAAAGTGATGGATTGAGAGGTTGAACTGTCTAGATGACAGGGGAAGACATGCAATATATATATAACATGTTTTGTACATTTATCTGTACGTATCTACTTAACTATCTACATATATATTTGTGCCTTACTTTCTATATGCATATACATCTGTATTCATATCTATCTATCCTTAGCTATCTATTCATATCCATCTATTTATATCTATCTCTTTATATCGATCTATCCACCTTTCTTTCTATCTATCTATCTATCCATCTATCTATCTATCTGTCCATCTATCTACCTACCTATCTATATGTATACACATAAACACGTTATACGCGATAGCTTCACATTGTCTACTCCTTCACCCTCCCTCTCCCCTTGCTACCCCCTTCTCCCTCACCCTATGACAATCACCTCCCGCGTCTACCCCCCCCCCCCCCCCCCCACCTCTGGCAATGCACCGTGGCCTGGTGTTTTTCCCGATAAGGCAGAGTGGCACCCACAATCTCCCCGAAGTATTGTGCATGTGGAGCAGGCGGGGGGAAGGAGTGGGGGGGGGGGAGGAGGGAGCAAAGAGGAAGAGATGGAGGTTGGAGGGGGAAGGAGGGAGGGAGACAGGGATGAAGAGAGGGAAGGAGGGCTGAAGGTTGGAGGGAAGGAAAGGGGAAGGGAAGATGGAAGGAAGGGGGAAAAGAGAGACAGGAGAGGGAGACAGAGAGGGAGGGTGGAGGAGAGGGAGAGAGAGAGAAAGAGAAGAGAGAGAAAAGAAGAGAGAGAGAGAGAGAGAGAGAGAGAGAGAGAGAGAGAGAGAGAGAGAGAGAGAGAGAGAGAGAGAGAGAGAAGAGGAGGGATAAAGTTGCAGGCAGAGAGGCTTAGGTAAAATAGAAAAGACGAATGAAGGAAAATAGATACGGGAGAACTGAGATGCAAAGAGATGGAAATGGAAAATGAAATTAAAAAAGGAAAGAGGAAGAGAAAGGGAAAAGGGGGAAAGGAAATCCATAGAGCGGGTAGAAAGTAGAGGTGAAATTAGAGAAAACTGAAAAGCGGGAAGCAAGAGGAGAGAGAGAGAGAGAGAGAGAGAGAGAGAGAGAGAGAGAGAGAGAGAGAGAGAGAGAGAGAGAGAGAGAGAGAGAGAGAGAGAGAGAGAGAGAGAGAGAGAGAGAGAGAGAGAGAGAGAGAGGAGAGAGAGAGAGAGAGAGAGAGAGAGAGAGAGAGAGAGAGAGAGAGAGAGAAGAGAGAGAAGAGAGAGAGAGAGAGAGAGAGAGAAAGAAGAGAGAGAGAGAGAGAGAGAGAGAGAGAGAGAGAGAGAGAGAGAGAGAGAGAGAGAGGAAGAGAGAGAGAGATGAGAGAAGAGATGAGAGAGAGAGAGAGAGAGAGAGAGAGAGAGGAGAGAGAGAGAGAGAGAGAGAGAGAGAGAGAGAGAGAGAGAGAAAAGGGTGGGAAGGGGGGAGAGGGGAAAGAGGCAGAAACCAACAAAAACAAAAAATAAGAGAGGATGAACTTGAGAGAAAAAATAATATAGCCCAGAGAAGGGGAGATGGAGAACGACGTGAGTAATATAAAGAAGAGGGAAGGAGTAAGGGGAAAAGAGGGGAGATGATGGATTGATTTGTCTTTTTTCCTTCGCCAAAAATGTGATCGGCCTCCGCGGGCATCTGGGAGAGAGCGGCGAAGAAAATCCATGAAAATAGATTGTACCTCCGATATACGCGTTGTTTTATGTACGACCGGTGGGTATGTGAGCGTGTGCGTGTCTTTGTGTCTGTGTGTATTAATTTTCCTGCGTACATGTATGTGTGATCGCTCGTGTGTGTGTGTTTGAGGGCTTTTGGCATGCACATGTTTGTTAGTGTGGTTAGTAGTGATAGTGTTATCCCACAGAATACAGAACTGAATTTAACATTAATAATTTGTCAAAATATTTAAGAAAGTAGGAGGCCAAGTGGAGTGGGGGCGGTGGCTACATTATGCATTTTTTTTTCTTATCAGGAAGTATATTGATACTCTCTTTATGTCCATCTCTCCTCTCTCTCTGTCTGCGATTCTGCGATTTACTCCTCTCTCTCCTCTATTACTATCTCTCTATCTACCTATCTACATATCTTCCCCTTTTGCGCTTCTTTAATTACTTCCTCCTTTTTTTTATCCTTTTGAAGTCTTTTCTCAGTCTCTTTTCCTTCACCTCTTCCCTTCTCCCTCTCTCTTTCTCTCTTCCCTCTTTAGTCTCTACCTCTTCTCTTTTTCCTCTCTCACTCAATCTCTTTTTCACATTTTTCTCTCTTCCTCCTCTTGCTTTTCCTCTCTTCCTTCTCCTTCACCTCGCCAAATATATTTAAATTCCCTAGAATGAAATTCCTTCTCAAGGATGCCACTCAATCCGTCACCAAGGAAACAGCTGCTCCCTTCTGTCAGGCTAGCTGTCCTTTTCGCCTTCCTTAGTCTTTCCCTTCATCTCTCCTTTTTACCTTTCCCCGTTCCTCCTCCTTTTTCCTCTTCGCTTATTTCTCTCGATTTTCTTCTCTTTGCGC